CCAGTGCGGACGTCCATCGTGGGCACAGTGACAAACGGCTTGCAAACCGGGAGCGGATTTGTCAACCTGCAACGACATACTAGACGCCGGTTCCTCGCATGCTGCAGGCAGGAAGAAATCGACGCAGCACGCATCAGCACATGCTCAAATGTGGCCTAAGATCGGCGTGGAAAGGCAGTTACTGTAGCCATGAAAGTTTTTACCTGTTGCTGGGGGAACGGGCTCGAGCGGTAGTTCGTCCCAGACTGAAGAAGAGACTATGAGGCTCAGCGAGGGTCTCCTGGGAGTTACTGCGTCGTTCACAGTTTGAGGGGTTTCGGGTTGTAGGGCTCCAAAGACTGACTGACGCCTGCTCGAAAGCCTGTGGATCAAAGCGCTATGACCTGGTGGACCGGAACTGGCGCAGCTTCGCAGCAGTAGTTGGCATTTGGCATGGCCTTGAAAGTGGTCGCAGCACCGCAGTTGTGTTTCTGTCTTCCTGTCGTGCTCAGCCCTAAGACTGGCCCAAGGTATTTGCGACACTGGCACTAGGCGAGACAGCAGCGAAGGTGCAGCACCGAAGTACCTGCCATGTCGCCCTGGAGGTGTAGCACATGGCTTGACCCATGGGTGCTTGAAGCTGGATTCCATTACAATGGACAAGATGCTGGCTGTACCTGGCCAGAGCTATTTCGTCAAGCCTCCTGCCTGCACAACCCAATGGCACAAGTAGAGGCACGAAAGACACGAGACTAGGGCATCAGCCTGCTACTTGTAGAGCCAATGTCTATGCTGTGCAATAGCATCCACTCACTTCCTCATGCCCTGCTGAGCCAGGATTGATGAGCCATACGCTTACGGCTCCTTACCCGAAGCAAACATTGCAAACATCATGTCAGACCGAAGAGTGATGCTACTGCTACGAAAGTGTCCCGAGCGCGCAAACTGAGGTGAGATGCTTGGCCAGAGTATATCCTTACGTGTCGCAACTCGCGCGTGTGTGCGCTGTGTTACATGTTTGGATTCCAAACTCCAAACCCGAGAGAGAGAGAGAGAGAGAGAGAGGGTGGGCAGTGCAACTGATCCCAGGAAAGCCGATGCCTTCAGAACAATTTGCCAGCTGGCATATGCAGTTCCAAATTTCTTCGCTGCTGAAGTTCCTGTTCAGCGCTTCAACCAGAAAGAGAATGACGACGTAGCCAGGCTGCATGATGCGTGGGAAACGGGTCGTGGCCTGTGCGCGGGGTGGCTGAGGTCCGTGAGAAGTTCAACCTCACTCTGCAGGATTTCCCAGCCTTCTTCCTTTTCATCGATTCTTGGCAGCTTTTGGAATGAAAGCGCGGCCCGGAGCAGGAGCTCCGCTATACATGAGTCTGAGGAAGGCGCAAATGATGCAATGCGATATGCGGATGCAGTTCAAGCAGCCAACATGATCAAATGGCTGTGCCTCGACATGCTTTCTATATATATATATATATATATATATATATATATATCTTTGCCAACCTCATGCGAGTGACTGTCAGACAAAGCATACAAAGCCTGTCATGGACTTGCTCTGCCAAGCTCAAGCGGGTCACTGTGAAAACCAGTCTGTCATGGACAGTTCTGCCTGTTCGTATCACCCGAGCCTTAAACCCGGAACCTTAAACCCGAAACCCTATGGATTGTCCGACTCTGAGCGCCGAAACTAAACTGTTCCCCGTACGAATATCGCAGCTGCGCAGTGCAGCCCTTGGGCCACCTGTTGCACTGCTCAGTCGCTCGCATGGGATATCAATGCCGTCGATCGATTCAATCGATGAGCTGGACGATATCGTCAACGAATTCCTCAAAGATGCCAGTGCGAGGCACCGACTATGCCTACTAGTGTTTGCAGGGTTACCGGCCTGACTAAGCTTCTTGTCTGCTCGCTGCTCCCCAACCTGCCGTCGCCAGGCACGTGGAACGAGCGCGGGAGCTTGAGCAAAAGTACAGAAACGATGCCAAAGCGCCCATGCAGCTTGTTTGCACAACGCCGGAGCCAATGGTGGCTGTTCCAGGGCGAGCAAGAATGGAGGAAGACGCAAAGAAAAATGTGACGGCGAGCTTGCTTGATGTGAGGTATACAAAGATCATGGAAAAGAGCCTGGCTCAGGGACCTAAGTATGCCGCAGACGAAATAGTTCGCGTGATGAAAATTTTGGAGGGCAAGGCATCTGGGATGCGTTGTGTTCCAGCATTGTGTTCCATTGCCTTCTCTCCTCACTCGTGTGCAACGACCTGCTTGCATCAGGTGCACCCTCAGAAAAGGGCGGAACTTAGTGACAAACTGAAAGTGTTGCCCCCCAGCTGCGCTGGCAAGACCGTTACACTTCCAGTGACATCATGACATCATGTTCCATCTTTGGAAACATTGAGACCGCTGGCTGTTGACACTCGTGCAAGGAAAGTCTTCGCAAAGACGGATGCTTGTGACATCTTTCATTGCCCAGATGGATATCAGAAGAAATTTGGTGCAGCAGGCTGTTACATAACCTCCATGCTTTCTTCTGGCCGGTATCAAGCCTTCAAGCACGCACACTTCAAGGACCAGGGACTTCCAGGCTGCAGCATGTCCTTGAGGCATCATTGGCTCCGATGTGGCAACCTGCTGCAAGCCTCCTTGTGTAAACACCGAAGGCGGGCGGGCTGGGCATCTCATCTGAAATGCACAGGCTTTGATTCTGATATCGTGCTAAAACAGGCGATGAACATGATGCTCAGGGCCACCACTGTGACTATTACGACGAGCGCACAGCCCCCGAATGTGGCAACTTGCTCAGCGCAATCGACAAAGTAATGGTGCACCACAGCATGCTTTCACTGCATGATGCATCTTGCGCTGCCCGCTGCACGGCCTGAGGAGATTGGGACACTGTATCATTTCGGGCTGGCCGGATGTGTTGCGCCTGCGGCGGTGGGCACACCAAGACCCGAGAAGCTGAAGACTAGGGATGTGTCCAAGTTCTGTGGACGCAGAAGATGTAGTGAACGCAGTGCTTATGTGCGCCCGCATAACATGTACAGCTTGTACAGAAACTGTAGAGAAATCTGTCAGCCATCAGGGGTTGACCTTGGCAAGCGAGCTCCACCACTTGGCAACACACATGCCATTGATGGGTCTCGAGTAGCTACGCTTCGTCGTCACATGACGGATGATCGCAGTAGAAGGTGCCGTGCGGAGCAGTGATCATCTGCACATGTAAGGCCGAACTGGTCAGTGATAGTGGGTTTGGGTCAGCTAAAGACCAGCAGGTCTTCATGCTGTCGACTCAGAGGTGGCGCAGGCTCGACTAAGGAGTTCGGTGATGGGGTTTCATGTTCAGGGCTTTGTGTTCGACTTGAGACTCTACAGATATGATGGTCTAGTGCCGGGTTAGCGAAGAGAGTCTGCTAGAGTTAGTGTGGCTTTGGGACATTGCCTCATGATCTCGTTTATCCTACTTCAAGGGCCCCCTGGCTCCACCCAGAATAGAAGCCCTTTCTGAACTTGCAGCGCTCATGGATCTGATCGGCTCAACTCCTCTGCAAGTTGAAAAGTAGGGGTTTCATTGTTTCATCAGTGCGAAAGTAGGGTAGAAGGCTGAACACAAAGCAACCGGGGAACTGCTACAGTACTTACTCGAGCAGCCCGCAGCTGGAAATCAGACAACTGCTGTCTTGGTACACGCTCAGACACAATTCTTGCGCGCAAGTACTTGATCGTGGCCAGAGCTGGCACGCTCCCGATGCAGCCTCCTCTCGTTGCCGTCTACGGCCATGGCTGCAAGCTGGCTCAAGCAGCGGAAGGAGCTGGCGACACTTGGACTTCATTGTGCTTCGAGTAGGCGCTGAATCGAAACCTACCTATGGCATAATTTCTAATGAGTCTATTACATGATATCAAAATAATAGTAAATATATACAGCAGTAGCCAAAAAGTTGGAAACCTCATAGCCTCAATCCTTAAGAGTACTGTATCGGGAATCGCTATTTGGCCTTAGTCCGGTTTCCAACTTTGTGGGGTTTACTATATATATATATATATACACACATACGCATTCACATGTGTGTATATATATATATAGATATAGATATAGATATGGATAGTTTGAGAAGCAAACTTTGCTGAGGATCCTACTTGCTGGCTCCTATCCGAGGCAGGCGCTAACTTGTGTTCCTGTGAAGTCAGAGCCCCCGGGAGCCCCGGGGGATGTGCCCTAGAGGAGTCCGACTACCCTGAACTTAAACCCTAAACCCCTAAACCAGGGGACAAGTGAGAATCGCACCAAGCCTCTTTTCACACCGACTCCGCACCTAAGAACCTCGCCTGGCTGTGTCCGAGTTGTGAGAGCGTAAACCAGGGGACAGAGTGTGAGCGCCGGAACCAGGGGACACATACTCGCAGTCCGAATAAGATAGACTATGAGATTGTATAGTATTCTATCAGGCCGTTCCTGTGCCCCGGGTTACCGCTAGCGGAAACGAGGATGGAAGAAGGAGGTCAAATCAACAACCCAAGACCAGCGCCTGGACGAAACAATCCCAGGGTCCCCTCCCGCCCTGTAGTTTCTGCTGAGCCCGTATATGTTACCTTATAAGTACCCATCGGAATGGCCATCATCTGTTTGCGAAGATCTTCGTAAGGAAGTCTACACACAGAGCGCACAAGTACGCCAACCGTCCCGGTTGATACGACCCGTATCGGCAGTGGTCGTTCGTAGCCCTCGACATGATTCCCGGATCTCGAGAGGGGGGTGATGCGGTTGAACTTCGATATATTTGCGCTTCTTTGATCATTCCCAGTTGTTCAGTCTCACGCAACAGACTCCGAACCACATGCCTCGCCTGGATTGTCCGCGTGTGACTTAAAAACCCTGGAGGAGTCCGAATAAGGGCTCCCAGCCGGAGCACTCTGAGCGACGCCTGCGCAAAGGACTTTCACGAATTCTTGCAATTCGACTCTTGGCTGCAGGCCTATACCTGGAAGAGTCTTGGAATGTTTGAGCGATAAACACGCCATGTCAGGAGACGAAGTTCGTCAGAATTCGCAGCACCCGTTCGACGAATCTGATGCCGAGTTCTTCTTAATGAATGAATACCCAGGAGTCGCAGCAGGCGTCATGGTTGAAGTCTGCGTCAATTGTGCCGGCATCATGCATGGCTGCGCGTATGTGGTAGGGGCAGTTAGGATGCAGAGGCGACGATGCATCGATGGATGCGCTTGTGCCGAAACTGGAAGATGAAGATTCTGGTCTGCCGCTTCTGTGGGGTGAGGCAGCAGGACGGTGCCGAAACAGCATGAACTAGATAACTAGATTGAACCACATCAAGCTGACTCGACTTGCTACTTACGTCGCGTGAAGCTCCTGGTGTGTGATGAAAGGAGGGTCAATGGAGCTCGAGAGTGATCTGTTTTCGAACGAAGCAGGCCCAACGCTTGCCAGAGTCTGTTTTGCAGCTTCGTGTATGCGTTCCCCCAGAGCCCTGTCAGATTTGACTGGCAGCCACGGCCAAAGCCCGGGGACCAAAAGTCACGCCAGCATGAGTCGGACGGTGAGCCCCAGCTTTGCGGCAGGCCGAACTTGCGTTGCACCCGACATCAGCGACCGACTCATGTGCTTTTCCGGCCCTGGAAGGTGTTCTTAGATCGCGGCGTGTTTCGGTGGACTTGACCCAACCAGTGCCGAACACGGAGCCTTGAAAGACTGTCAAGCTTGTGCTCTGCATGCACCCATGACCCGTGACCTGTGGCACGAGCTCGTTTCGAGGATGGTGAAGTCATCGACTTCTTGGAGCGACGGCGCATGATTGCTCTGGGAACTTTCATTGTCAAAATGCAGCTTGAAGCAAGCACAGCGAAGCGGAGCGGTCCAGCGGAGCCCCAGAACCTCCTCACTCCGCTCCAAGCGTGCCGAGGTGGACAAGAAGCGTCCTGACAGGGGACGTGGTAGTACCCGCTCGCGCAGAGCTCAAGTTGATCACACAGGCTGCTGGGCGCAAAGTCACTGCGAGAACCCGGAAAAATCCCGTTACACATGCCTGAGGGAGAGAGAGCCTATGGCTTCGCCTTAAGGTTCTGCAGCTTCCGGATCCTGATGAGACCGCAGCTGTAAGCGACTGTCGGTTCTTGATCATGACGGAGGAGCTTGCGGCCGTGCTTTGGCCTGGATTTCTCTCGAGAGCACCTTGCAGTAGGTTTTCGGATGTTTTCGGATTCCTAGGGCTCGAACCAGGTGATTGCCCACACGGTGACGGTGGAGAAAAAGAAGCTTCCTGCAGCTGATGGCGGATATGCGCCGACACCGAAGATTCGTTTCAAAGAATGGGCTTCCTTGCAGCACTTGATCTTGCTTCATGTGCTGCCCCGGGCAGACTTCCGAAAAATCCATCAGGCTTCCCACCTCGCAGAGGTGTCTGTCAGCTGCCGGGAGATGCAGAAGCAGGCATGTCGCAGTGTGGGTCCGAAGGCTGCCTTTCAAGTAAAATTTGCAATAATAACAATAGTAACAATCATAGTAATAGTTAGTAGAACAATCAATGTTTCGCAATTTCAGTAGCAATAGTAACAATGATATGTGTAAGAATAGTAGTAGTAGTAGTAGTAGTAGTAGTAGTAGTAGTAGTAGTAATAATGATAATAATGAGAATAATAATAATAATAATAATACCGCCTCGTCGAACAGAGCCTTGCCGTTTCTGCGCATGAGCCGAGCCGAGCCCCGGAGGTCCGCAGCTGGGTGTCGCGCTACGAGCGGGCACACGACGGAGACTGCGAGAGTCGTGAGAGATGCTTAGGGTTTAGGGATAAGATTAATAAGATTAACAATATTAGTAACATTAATAATATTAGCAATATTCGCAATATTAATGATACTAATAGGGTTTAGGCTTTTGTCCTTCCAGTTCCTGGCATATGCGTAGTCCAGGTGTAAAACAAAAAAGGCTTCTATCCTTATTACAGAACCCTGGTGGGCGCGGCTGTCTGTAAGTAGTGTCACACCGCCTCGCACCTATGCGTCCTCGCTTGGCTTCTCCGAGTTGTGCGAGCGTATAGAATCCTGGAGCCCTTAAGCTGCAGAAAGCCTAGTAGAATTTTGATTCCCTGATAGAAAACGTATAGAGATTTAGTGGAACCGGGGCAGGATCCTTTCTGTTGAGTTGTCGTAGGCAAACTTTCATGGCTTGCAGGATCCATTCGAGAAACTCCGCGCGAGCACTCGTTTGAGCACCGAGTGAGGGTGGTGGAAGCTTGGCTAAAACCCTACCCCTAAACCCTATACCCTAACCTCTGAAACCCTAAACCCACCAGACCTCGAACCACATGCATCGCCTGGATTGTCCGAGTGCGAGTGCCGAAACCGCTAAATGTCTCATTCTCAGCTCTGGCGTCGATCCAAGTGCATTGCGATTTGCCCAAGGACTTCTGGTATGAATATCACAAGGACGAACCACGGCATGCTGCAAAAATTGCTTGCCTTCCTAAACCCGCGGGCCAGAGCCTTCCGAAACCTTCAACAGTCATAGGACGAATAAATCATGAGACATGTTACGACTTTGACGTGTGAACGGGGAGGCCTGCTCGCCCAATAGAAGGTTGGGGTAACCGTAGAAGAAGATCGCCACAACTTTGTGCATGCAGGATGCATGGAACACGCTGCCCCTGCTGCTTGGCAAAACATTGGCTTCAATGGAGAACGCCCGCTCTCAAGTTCTAGAATGATTTGTTTTTATTGTGTGTGTGTGTGGATGTGTTTGGGTGTTGGCTTTCCTTCCTGGTCGAAACGAGGCGTCATGGCGGCGGCAGGCCTGAATCCCGATATCAGCATGCTCCACTCACCGAACCCAGCGAGCCACCGAGACACACCCACCAGTGCATGCTTTGCCGCCAGGAGCAGAACACCTGGTGGATCCAGCGGTAAGGCAGTGTTTTTCTTGCAAAAAACAGCATGACAGGTGACACTTCTGTCTTGTCTGTCCGCTGTGGGTGAGGCCTCCTCTGGAACGATCCCTTATAGTACCACCTTGTCGAGGCAGCCATCACTGCGCCCGCAGCCTGAAGTACAGATCACCCTGCATCACCCAAACTGATTCGGCCCTGAACACATCTCGCCACTGAGGGCGGACGCTGACAAAGTCCGACCCGGCTCTCCAACTCTCGAAAAGTGGCAGCGGACTTCTCAAGCTGCCCCCCGTCACACAGCTGCAACTGGAGGACACACTCAACTCGCCAATCTCGCATGAGTTCGCAAAGCTCATCCGAGGTAAGCAACCCGGCGAGGGAGCGATATCTGAAGCAATGTAGCGGCCGCACAATGACTCCGTTGCCTATCCCCTTCATGTTGCTCGGATTCGATGTTTCTGTGAGCATGATGTGCTTTTCAATGTTCTCCGTGTCCAGGATTGGAGAGACTCCCGATCTGGATTTGGCTCGGCTTGATTTGAGCGACGTGGAGCTGGAGGTTGCTTTGGACGAATTGGAAGCCAAGTGAGCGCCAAATGCCCGAAACCCCTAAACTAAACCCCGAAACCCTAACGCCTAACGAGTGTGAGCGCCGAAACCCTAACCAATAATTACCAAGGGACCAAAATCCTAAAGCTATACTGCGACAGGAAAATCTGCTGCTGAGGCCATCGCCGAAACCCTGCCTACAGTCCACGCAGTCCGGAAGGCGGCTGCCCAAAGTTCCGACGATATCAAGCAACAGCTGGGGGCCTTCAAAACATAGACTTGGGCTTAAAGATTTGGGACAGGTTATAGATATGTATAGGTTATAGATGATTGTAGTATATATACTTACATATACGCTGGAGGCCGCCGTAAGGAATAAAGTTGGTAATTGCGGGCAGGTGGACCTGCACGGCAATGCTCTCCTGAGCAGCTTGGTTGACAGAAGTCGTAGGTATTGTAGTTACGTGTGTGTGTATATCTACTTATATACGCATGTATGTTTACATGTATTCGATATTATGTACGTGTGTATGTCAAATCGTGGAGCAAGGTGACCGCTCCTTGAGCAACTTCCTGCGCAGCGTGCAGCTGCCGAGACTTGTGAGATCCTCAGATGATCGGTACCTGTCCATTCACGAGGAGTCTGCCCTTGTCACTGAGGCTTCCAGTTTGGTGGAGTTGAGCCTAAGTGGCTGCTCCAGGGCAGGGCCTCAAAGTCTCACGTGCATCTGGGACATAAACAAGCTAAGCGGTTGGTTACGAGCAGGGCCTGTTAAAAAGCCACCATTCCTCAGGCATCATCTCTCTCGTCAGTGACGCTTCCTACCTTGAGCGGCTGGCCGTGCCCTTGGTTCGTAGAACAAGCCTTGAGTCTGAGGTTGACCATGGTTGACCTCCGATGCAACATGCGCTTAGGATCTGAGCCAAGTGGAGGTGAACCACCGCTACCAGCTGCCACTGTGTGAAGCGATCAGCGAGCGACAGACCCTGAACTACGCAGCTTGACCGATTTGGGAACACCGTTGATCGTTGCCATGAAGAGCTTCATGCTTGAGCCCGAGCCGAAGGAGAGTCCGGAAGAGCGCTTCTTGCACACCTGAGGTAAATCTCAGCAGAACGTCTGTGGGGCCTTTAGCCTGCATTACTTCCAATCGAGGTCCGCTTCGTTTACTAGATCGCGCACACCCCCCGCTGGAGAGACGTGTGTCCGCTGCAAGCTTGTCTTAGATGAGGAGTGGCCCCATCGACCATGGATGCCAGTGCATCGCGACGCTCCTTCAGGGCCATGCTCCTCGCCCAATCTCAGGATCGACTGGGCTAAGGACCTTAGGCCACTGCTCGGAGAATTGAGAGGCGAGGCTGCCAAGAGGCGTGTCAGGAAAGTAGGTGAAAGTAGGATCTACAACAAACCGAGCCTATGTTTCGGAAGCCTCTGAGGCATGTAAGGCGAACGTGCAAAGTGCAGCGTAAACAGCACAGGGGACGTAACCTCCACAAGTAGCTGGGGCAGGCCATGGCTGTGCTGATTCGAAGGCATAAAGAGAAACGGCATACGTGGCGCTCATGATCAGAGCTTTCGGGTATGTTGCAGCTCCTTTGTCTTAGGTGCAGGAGCTCGATCTGAGCTGGAACCACATGTCCTCGCAGCTATTTCACTGCTTGGGTGAGAATATTGCGAGGCAAGCGACGGCGCCTTGTCACAACCCGAGAGAGAGGATCAACCTTCAGAGAGAGCTGGGGAGCCCACCTTGCTGCATGAAGTGGCATCTCCACTTTCCTCAAATCCCAGGTGAAGAAGCTCAATGTCTGCAACTGCTCTGGTGCTGGTATTGACCATCTTTCCGTGCCGGCATCTCGCTGCCGTAAGATGGTGCAGGCTGTTGGAATTATGGAAACGAAGAAACAACCAGATCAGCCCTTTGCGCTTTATGTTTTACGGTGGGGTGAAAGTCAGGTTGCAACAGTTTTGTGTAGCTGACTGCATCGTGGAGGCCTTCGACGCTTACCTGTGGGGTTGAGAACTGAACGAAGGATATCTCGCGGCAAGGACAGACATATCACCGGAGCTCGTTTCCTGGGGTAGGAAGCAGCAGTAGTCTTCCAAAACCATGAACTACGATGGGGCACTTGTCAAAGTGTCCATGCTCGAAAGCACCGACACAAGCGGAAACTAGTCAACTAGTTTTCTAACTGGGCAATCACTGCATTCAGTGGCCTCCTGAGCACTGGTGTGATGCGCCTGCCACTCCTCGCCCTGGCCCCAGGTAGGCACAGGCAGGGGGCTGAGCAATCAGACGTAAGGCTCAATTTTGCTTGGCTTTGTATGGTCGTGTTGACTGGTGACGATGAAGAAAGCCCTTTGACCACGTGTAAAAACCGGGACGCCAACGACCTTTCGAAGTGCCAGCGCAAGCTGCAAGGTAAACTTCTTCGTGGAACAGCTGCGGAAGGACAACACCTTGACTTCCCTCGATCTCTCTATGAGCAGCGACTTTGAGGAAACACTGCCTGAATTCTCAAACACTGTTGGATGACTTCTGCTCCTCTTCAAGGAATGAACTTTCGTTCGGCGCTGATATTGGAGGATGCGCTGCAGAATCATAAGCTGCTCGCCCGGATCGATCGGCAATACGCGCATAGGCATAGTCCTATGAACGTGGGTAGTTGTCTTGTTTATAAGGGTGCCGTACTAGACTATGAACCTAAAAAGGTACCCTAATTTAGAGAACTACAGTATGTGAAGATCGAAAGTAGAGCTGGACTGAATAGGATTCGGCACGGAGCCCGGCTCCTACAGGCAGCTCAAGCACTTGTACTTGGCCGACAATCCGTTGGGACCTCGCGGTTTGAGGCCGGAGGCTCTGAGTGGACGGTTTGAGGCCGTAGATGTTGAAAGTTGATGAGCCTTCGGCTTTCGTTGATGCGATCCGAACGCTGTCAGGGGCAAGGCATGACGGTCCCACCTGTCAGGTCAGTGCTGAGAACGATAGCGTCAACGACGATGCTTGGCCGAAGCACGAGGATGCATGCATTCCACCGTCCTGTTCTCACGAAGTTGACTCGTCCTGTGGCCGAGGAATGCGCTGAAGTTCTTTGACACATCTGGATGTTACGGGGGTGAGGTCCGGGAATGGGGCAGACTTTTGGGTAGTGATTTTGGGCTTTGTCCTTCCGAGCAGGTGCCAGCTGATCACGATCACGAGGTCTTTGCGATGAGACGCTCAGTTGCAGATGGGGTGCCGACGCCTCCCGAAGACCTTGCAAGCCGAGGCAACCTCCCTGGTTCGGGCTCCTACCATCTGCAGCTACATCGACCGCACCACGGCGGCTGAGGGAAGCCCGATGCCGTAAAGAGTCGTCTTGCAGAGATGGCCTCGCCCAGGTATCACCGATCCTTGCTGCGCATGCTGTGCAAGTCAGCCGAAGGATTTCGGCTAGCTCCTTCAGAAGTTCTGCTCGTTGCAACCCGCATAACTGTGGGTGAGCTGCAACACACCCTCTGTGCTCTTGGATGTGGGTCCGACTCAGGTAAGCTCGTCGGATGACTTCGTCCACGGCACAAAGAAAGGAGGTTTGAGCTTCAGCACTCCCAGCCAAGTGAAGGTGGTTGTACTCTTTACAGAGCGGTCGTCCACTCCAGGACTCTGGGAAGTACCCAGCAGTGGCGAGGTAACGCTCAGCTTCAATCTAGCAGCTCGCCATGGAAACCCGATGTTCTGCAAGGCTCTGTAAGTCTTGGCTCCTGTGTTCTTTCTGAACTTGGTGGATGAAAATTCGGGCTATGCCTGGGCAGCTGGATGCCTGTGTTGGAAATGCATTCAAGGCTTGAGGTTGCATCATAGGACATTATATCAGGTTATAGTAGATTATGCGATAATATTGAATCTCAGACGCCCAAGGAACGCTGCTTCGAGACTCCCTTGTTCAAGGATGTAGACTCTGACTTTGGCCTGGTGATCAACAGCCACTGGCCTGAAGACGCAGTCAGCTGCATGTCTTTGCCGAAGATGCCACGGATGTGAGCCAGGCGGCTTTCTGGCCGCCGCAGTATAACACATCGCAAAGGCAACCGTTTTCGCACAGCAAGGTAACACCAGCAAAAGCCCAAAGGCTGCTGAGCACCCAAGGATTTTACAGCTTGTCTCGCTTTCACCTTGACTCGAGCAAGGCAAGACTGCAGGGTGAACTTGATAGCATGTTCTGCATTCCGAAACATCCGAAGCATCTAGGATCATGCTGCTAGCAGATGCGCCTTGAAATTGGAGGCTGTGGCCGTGTTTGGCCGGTTCGTCGAGCTGGATGGTTTCCAACATTCGCAAGCATGCCTTCTCAAGGCCCTCTCTATCTTTCAAGCATAAAGCCTCGAAAGGCTGCCATGGCATGTCGCAAGGCACTGAGTTTCGATTTTGTTCTCACCATCTCCCACCTGAAAGTCTTGGCAGAGCTGGATCCTGAGAGTCCCCGAGTTCAGAGCCTCCGGCCGCCTGTTGCACGTAGGACCGCTGTTCCGAGGACTTCGCAGCTCTTCAGGGCACCTTGCATCATGAACTTGCTTCCCTCGGTTCTTCGTGAACCCGGCTCGCGGCTTCTCTGCAATCAAGACATTTGAAGACGCGGGTGTCGGAGCGCTTTGTCAGGGTTCGTTCAAAGAAGTGAGATGCATGCTCTTTGCCAGCTCCCTTGACCGCGACAGAAACTGAGGTACTACGTGGCGCAGGGAATGTATGCTACAACGCTGGACTGCGTTACATGCCGGCTGAAGCTCAAACAGCACGCCGCCTCAGATACGGCAGAATCGACCCAAGGCCTAAAGCGCTAAGCAAAAGCCTCGTAACCCGGCTCACTTTTCGCCACGATTGAATGCTCCCTTAGGCTCCTCAGCTTCACGGTTCGAAATCCGACGGGCCACTACGAGTTGGCTTTGGACCTTTGCTTGCACGTTAGCGTTAGTGTTGCAGGAAGGCTTCTCGAGGGCCTCAGGAGTCTCTGAATAGAACAATGAGCATGATGACAACAATGAGTCGTAGTAGTATGTAGTAGTCGTCGTCGTGATCGTAGTAGTGGTGGTGACCATTAGAAAGCAGTACTTAGCATAATCAAATCCTATGCACAAGCAGCGCTCAAAGGACAATCGAGCAGACTTTGCCGTCGCCGAGCAGCTGGCTCTTCTCGACAAGTGGGAAAGCCGCATGCTGATATTTAGCGCAGGACTTGCATCGCGCCGTCTGTTGGATTGGTGCCTCTGTTATCCTGTGTTCGCTTGCTGCCTGTCACAGTCGCAGTCACGGTTGCGAGCGCCGCTTCAGACACTGCATGTTGACTGTCGTATGCTCTAAGTTATGATGGACAAGCGGCTTCTGGGCGGCAGTTGTGCGACTGTGACATGTCAAGGTTGAGCTCGTGCAGACTGAGGCTGGGGCGAGAAGATGTATCAGCCGAGTGCAACCGATCGCATGCACGGAATGCATTCTACCAAGGGAAACCAATTCTGCAGCCGGGCTGGAAAGAGGATGCTGTTCTTTGTTTCTAGCCGTGCTTCTAGCAGTTGCAGAACATGCAAATACAACAAAATACGCTCCAAGAACCTGTTCTAATGATTTCGGCTTTTTCGCGGGATTCATTATTAGAGCCCTCTGAAGCCAATCACAACCTATCAAGCCCCACAAAACTTATACAAGCTCTCTTCTACTTGTTGAGGCACAAATGTTTGGGCATCTGCACCCCCGAGTCCTGTTGACAACCGAAGTGAGGACGTCCTCGATGGCTTTTGCCGACTGGAAGCGGCCGGGCCACGACAAGCTCGAGCTGCTCGCCTCGGATCCAAACCGTCGGGTTTAGGGCTTTTGGGGGTTAAGGTTAAAGTGGGAACGGCCCAGCAAACCCTCGAACCTAGGACTCATGACTACGCTCGAAAGCCTTGCGAACCCATGCATCTGAACTTCCAGGGTTAGGGTGGGAGATCTGGCTTGACTAGAGCCCAGTGGTGAAGAGAGGAAGTTTGCAGGGAGAGCTGTTCTGAAAACACTCTCGCCCGACACTTTACTCCGATCTCTACGTGCCCTAAACCATTTAAGGTACCCGTACAGCAAACCCTTTCTGGCACCTTTTGAGAAACCTTTCTGGTACCTCGAAGAGGCTTTTAAGCGCTACATCCTCAAACCCTACATTGTCCGAGTGTGAGTGCCGAAACCCTTTCTGACCTCATGAAGCCGTGCCTTCGTCGAGCGAGTGTGCGAGTCGAAGCCTTTTCTGGGCACTTCGAGTTGTCAGGTTGGACTACGTCAGCTCCCAGGGGCCGCCAAAAGGAGCCCAGGCCATCAGGGTTTAGGGTTGAGGCTTCCCCCATTTAGGGTTAGGGTGTTTAGGAAATGTAGAGTGTCGGGTTCCCAGAGTTTAGGGTTCCCTATTCAGAGTTTAGGGTTCCCTGTTTAGGGTTTGGGGTGCAGGCCATCACGTGGGCCTCCTTCCGCCAGATCCTGGAGGCCGCTCCCAGGCCGCACTGATCTTTCATGAATATACTAAATGTTAGGGACGAAAACCATGGTCATAATGATGGCCATAGCAACAGCAATAGCAACCATAGGCAGCATGTCTTTAATCACCATCATCATCAGCATTAAAGACCAAATGATTGCAAGATTGATTGATTTGGCTTTCGCCGTGTGCCTGCCAAAGCTTGCGATAGCTGAGGTTCATCAACCCGCGTGCTCTTTGGCTGCGCCTAGTACTATTTCTACCACTGTACAGTTGCAATTAAATTAGTTGTAGTGTTGTTGATAGTGTTGTTTGGATATTGCTACTATGTCTTTTGTCGCCACTACTATGTTTTAGCACCATTGTGTTCGTTGTTTTCTACTTCGCTTCACAGCTGAGGTATGGCACATGTCAAGGTGTCCGCCCTGCGGAGCCAGGCGCAGAGCTTTTGCATCGAGTCCAGGCCCGGCGTTGCTTGAAGTTGTGTTAAGGCTTTTGGAGGATTTAGGATTGGTTTAAAGGGTTTTGTAGGGTTTAGGGTTTCTAGAGGAAATCATGATCCAGGCTTCAGGAAGCTGACTTTCCGCGAAAGTGGATGAGCACGAGCTTGAGTGCAGGGTTGAACCCAGCAAACCTGATGCAACAAAGGGGGCAATCCCAGGGCGAACTGGGAGTAGCTAAGGGTTCAGGGTGCCCAGGGTGATTCAGGGGTTCGGGGTTTGTGCAAGGCAGCTTCGCGTGCTGGTGGGCACGTTTTCGGAGCCGGCTGACAGAATTGAAATCTTCGTTCTCTTCTTCAACCGAGTCGTTGCACCTTCTCCTAACAATCAGCCCATGATGCTTTTGACCGTGACGGACTATGCCCCATACGTGACTGCTTGTGAATGCTGCGTCCAAGGATCCACAGAACGCGAAGATGTACAAAGCTCAACTCGAAGACTTCTCAGACGTGATGGCATTGAGACGCAGACTGGGCTTTGCGAGAACATTTCCATATGTTCAACCGGAATTCGACCAATTCCAGTTGGACCTGCGTTTGCACGACGAGCGTGTGTGCATGACGGCATTGCTGGCGCTTTCAGCTCGCGAGAATGCCGGCAACATCCGCCACCCTGTGCACCTCGGTCAACTCAGCCCAGAACAACAGGGCTCACTACGCATCCCTAAGCTAGGCTTTGTCTGCCTTGTGCGAGTCGTGAGGGTCGAAAGTGGGCCTAAACCCTAAGTAATATAGCCCGAAACCCTACAACCCACAAGCCAAAATCCTCTTCAGGTACGTTTTGCCAGACGGGACTGTTGATCCGCTTAAGATGGGCATTCCTCGCAGCTGGGAGTCTTGGCTGATTGCTCACCTCAGATCGCGCACCTTATAATAACATAAGGGGCACCCTTCTCTATTACCTGGTTTCTGGCAGCCTTTACAGTTACCCGCCTAGTCACCCTGGTCAAGGAACCCTTCTGGCCTTGCGGTAACCCTAAACCCTAAACCCTGATGACAGCAAGTACAGGAGTCCCGGAGTTTTTTTGTGTCAGAGATATCCGAGGAGTTCCTGGACCGGGTTCCCCAGGGGGGCCAGTTCAAGCAGCTCGGGCTTCATGGGGCCCGGGAGCTTCCTTTCGTAAGGTGTGCCCTGGTAAGGTGCAGCTATGTTTGTGCTCCGGGGCAGCGAAACTTCGAGCTCCGGAAGCAGCTGTGCAAGACGTATCACTTTTCTGCACCTTTGCTGATGAGAGAATTCTTTGGGCCATTGCATGGCGGTGCGCTCACACACGACACTTGCTTGAGACCGCCGCTCATCGCCCATGGCAGGATGTAAAGGAGACCGCTGTCTCATGGTGGACCAACATGATCGAGGCCTGCATTTTTGGCTTCTTTGTTCGCTCTCTTCGCTTAGTCTCGGTGTTCTTGGCCCCCACATATTGTGCTGTGTGATCTGTTGTTGCACAGTGTGGAAACCAATGCTTGTGTTTAGCTCCGCACCCGAAGAGCTTGCACAATGCAAGATCCTACTAAACACCACGGGCTTGTTGGCCCTCTTTCTTTCGCTCCATGTTAACGCTGAGCATTGTGCAGGCAATGTCATTCACCACGTTTCAATGCCAACAGACTTGCGTGTTCCTGTTGGTGGTGCGCGACCTCGATTTCGATGTGTGTTTCATCTGCTCTTCAAGCGGGTGGTTGTCAAAATTAGGGTCCCTTTAGGGGTCCCTATTATAATACGGCACCTAAGATTTCAGGGTACCCAAAAAGGGGCTATAATTTTGACAACCTCCCAAGTCTAGGACAGCATGGGATACTTTGATAAGCTCCTGGACCGCCCGCAGATTTGTGGGTGCTGCTCCTTTCAAAGGCCGGCTTCCAAACGACTTTCGGAAGCGGATGTTGGGTTTCGATCATCCAAACACGTGGCGTGTCGAATGGAGCAAGCTTAGACTTACCTTGGGTTAGTAGGGAAATGTAGGGAATGGAGGAATGGTAGGAATTGTACCCCTTCCTCCATTCCCTACTAACCAAAGGTAAGTAGACTTAGGGAGCCGAGGCCGGCAGGATTCTCCGCACAGTATGGAACCGACATACCACGATGGGACTAGACCATGGTCCAGTCTAGCCGTGATATGTCGGTTCCATATACTAGACCATCTGGCTGTCCTTGTCTCGGACAGAGTACGCTGCGGCGAGAGGTGTGTTCGGATCCTTCGCAGTCTCTAGTCTGGAAGAGACGGAAGGGATCTCGATGTTCAAAAGACCCACGGCGGAATCCTTTCCAAAGGCAGACCAGCGCAATTTTTGGGGGAGGGCCCGATTGCTTACAAAGCGTGCAGGTGCCTTCAGAAGTGATCGACTTGGTGTTGCATCTTGCCTCAATTCAGGCCGCGTTCTCGTCAGGCAGGGTTTCCTCTGCTATCGGCTCGATTTCGGAGTGCAACTTTCAGCTTGTTGTCAGTTTCTCCTGGGCACTGCCGAAAGCGCTGTGCAGAAACCGAGGGGCGAACAATAGCAAGCCCAAGTACAGAGCCATCCTTACAAAGGGACCCTGACAATTTAAGCATGAACCTCAATCTACAGCCAGCCGAGGATGCTGAAGGAGAGCGGGGTGGATTTGAACAAGGCCTTCGACTCGATCGACGGCTTTGACGGCAACGGCCGTTAAGCTGCAGATGCAGGTAGATAGCTAGCTATGCTAGATTCGTGGGTAAGTAGATAAGTATGTAGATAGTAGATGTTACGACACTGCACCGGTTCGGAGGAGCTCCTTGGGCATGTTCTCTACGCCTCTCATGGAAAAGCCTTTTTTGCCTCTCCTCCCGAGGCGAGATTGGACTCGGGAAGCTTCAGCAGGGACTGGAAGATCTGGGCTGGCGAAGGTTCAAGAACCCTTCCTCCGACAACGAAATGAAGGTCACTTGTTTGGGCGGCATGAGAGAGTTCTGCGTTATGACTGGGCGTCTGATGCAAGTGCCTGCATCGGAAGCAAGAGACCAGGAGCAAATACTGGCTATCTTCCGCTGCGTCAACGTTTCTGGTCATGGCACCCTTTCCAGAAGCGACTGGAACGTACTGCAGCAGCTCACCAAGGATGCCCGTTGCTTAGTGCTGCAAGAGGCATTGTCACTGGCCCGATTCTAGCGTGGCAGAGCAGACCGAAACCTTAGTCACATCTCCACAGTAGGCCCAGCTACTCACTGTAATCATGCCACGGGAGCTGTTAGTAAATGGCCTTTTGATATGATGCAGGTTGACCACGCCATTGCGGAGTTCGTGCAGCTTGCTAGCACTTCAACAGGTAGAAAGACCCGTGCCAAAACACCTCATTCATCAGTTCCGGAGGCGCTGGCTCAGCCAAGGCAGTATTTGATGCGCATATACGGCTCGATGCCGGCAGCATGGGCGGCGCTGGACAGCACACGATGCCTGCAATAACGGTGTTCGAGTTTGTCCAGAGGGTTTTCAGCATGTCACGGCGTTGGGCGGGCTACGCAGAGCCGCCCAAGACGACAGTAGCTCCACCTGCAACTTCTCGAGCTTTTGGGTGACACAAAGCCTCAAGTTCCACAAACCAAAACTTCTGAACTCTGTGTACACCACTGACTGCACGATCAAATCCCCTGAAACACACTTGAGACGACCCTATACCCGGTACATACTACCAAGCTTTACAGACTGCTACTACTCCAACTCCTACTCCTACTCCTACTACTACTATACTACTACTACTACTACTACTACTACTACTACTACTACTACTACTACTACTACTACTACTACCACATCGCAGGACGTCGATGTCCAAGAGAGCCTTGGTCGGAAGGCTTGGATCGAGGCGCTGCGGCAGCTGGGCCACTTGCCAGGCGGAAAGACCTTCCCTTGAAGTCGCGCATGACGGCGAGTATATGGCCATATAAGTACGAATATGTGCAGAATTTTATATGTAAATCCCAAAGGTGTGTGTGTGTGTGTGTGCATATATATATATATAGAGTAATATATATATGTATGTTTAGCAGCAACTAAGCATGGAGATAGAAAAGTAGATGCTGACTCTCTCTCTCCCTCTCTCTCTCTCTCTCTCTCTCTCTCTCTCTCTGTCTCTGTCTCTGTCTCTCTCTCTCTCTCTCTCTCTCTGTCTGTCTCTGTCTCTGTCTCTGTCTCTCTCTCTCTCTCTCTCTCTCTATCTCTCTCTCTCTCTCTCTCTCTCTCTCTCTCTCTCTCTCTCTCTCTCTCTCTCTCTCTCTCTCTCTCTCTCTCTCTCTCTCTCTCTCTCTCTCTTTCGACATACATATACACATGTATCACATGTATTATACATATATATATATATAGATATGTATGTACCGACATATATATATATATATATATATGTGTACATGTATGCCGTGAACCCATTTCCATACAAATACAGAAATAAGTAAGTCTGTAAACAAACGTATGTGTATACATAAATATATACATATGTAGATACATATATATATAATTATATATATAATATGTACACATATAGTGCGACGTTTGGATGCATCTGTGTATACACTTCGGTATGTTTTTCTGTATACATGGATGGGAAGGGTGGATGATGGCGGTGTTCTCTACTAGGTGTTCGAAATTGTGAACAAACATGAATACACATTCATCGTATGGTTATTTCTTTATTTAGCGCAGGCACACGCGCACGTCACAAAAATGATTCCGTCCCGGGAATAGATGACCAGTAAAACAAAGCTCATGTATGCCTATACCTTCATATATATATATATATATATATATATATATACATATGTATGTATATAGACATGCGCACCAGTTTCATAGTAATGTCATGCTGTTGCTCTATTTCTACTTGTTTTGGTCCCACTTGATGTGGTCGTGCCCGCCTTGGAATCGCCAGGCAGCAACCGCAGGTCTAGGGATTTGAGTGGGCAACCGGGCCACCATTCTGCACAGGGACGAGACCGATAATGAAAGTGCGGCCGGGGCAAGCGCGAGAAATCATTGAGTCGGTCGTGAGAAGGTCAGTGAGGCACGTGGCAAAGTCAGAGCTGACATGGGTGCGTGCAAACACAGAGTACGCTCGGAGGTTCACAGTGTCTCTTTTAAGCGGACTGCTGCGTTAATTTCTTGGCTGTGTTTCCCTTGTTGATGCTTCGTAAGTGTTGTTCTGCTTCTTGGTACTGATATGGCCGCTGTCGTTCCAGTGGCTGCTTGCTCACGTCGATCTGACATCAGCTGCGTATGCATATCACCCAACTTCATCTTTAAGTCGTCAAACTCAGCCAAGCTATGTGGGAGCTGGCAAAGCAAAGCTCAACTCAGGTTACTTTGGACCCGGTGACATTGTTTTCCGATTTCTCACGGCATCTGACGCTTCACGGGCGCGTTTTATAACCTGGCAGAAGTTTTGCTGCAAGCTCAGTTGCTGATTCTGCGACATGCCTAGCATTGCCAGAATTGCTGTTTGCGCCAAGGCAGGCTTGAAAAGTTCATCAGCTATGGTCTCGAACAGGCCACTACCTAAGCACGCTTTTAATTCAGCACCGCACCGTCTTGTCCAGCCTCCAAGACGGAGCTGAGGCAACATAGCATCGCTTGCGATACCTGTACAAAAACCGAGGTCTCACCACATCGTTCTAGGATCTAATTGGCGTCAGCGAGGAGAGATCGCCATCTGCTTGAGGCTGTTTAAAACAGCTGGACTCTCAAGCTTGGGCTTGACCTCGCATGCGGCGCAGAAAAGAGAGCCGACGCGGTGTTGAACAATTTACTGCCTCTTTCGGTGATGGTGGCTGATCACACCATGTATTACACCGGCCCCTTGGCGATGGCGGCTGATCGCATTTCTTCAAACTCGCCCCTCTCATTACGCGGTTAGATCACATATTCTGAACCGGCCCCTCTTTTGGTGACGGCGGTTGGTTGCACTCCTTCAGCCAGCCCTTTTTTTGGCAAAAAAACCGTTCCCTCAGTAGGCGATGGCGGCTGATCGCATTTCTCAACGCAGGCCCTTCATCAGGTGATGGCGGTTGACCGCATGTGTTTAACCCACCTCCTCGCCAGGCGATCGGTTGATCGCACCTCATATTCCTCATATTACCAACACCAGTTTGAGCGCTCCTTCTTATAATCATAGTATGATGGGCCCCCAAATTGAAACCCTATTCTAGTAATTAGACTCCCCAAAATGATCAGATCTTTAAAGGCCGACCTCTCAAAAGGCGATATAGCAGTTGATGGCACTCCATGTAAGGCCCTTGATAATTAGAATGGGGTTTAGGGCCCATTATACTATAACCACCCGAAATAGAATAGTTAACTATGAAGGCCCCCATGTTAAACTCGCTTCTTCAATAGACGATGGAGGCTGATCACGTTTGTCCACCCCGCCTCCTCATCAGACGATGGCAGCTTATCACAGTTCTTAAGCCCCATCCCTCAACAGGCTGTACAGGTTGACCACACCATTCTCAGTTGTTACGGCTGTTGTTGCCATTTCTTCTACGGTTACCACGAAAATAGGTTCGAGTCATTCACTACCATGGTTGTACTGCACCGTGTTGTGAGTCTGAGCAATCAGACAGGCGGAGATGCCGCAGGTGAGCTGCCTTGAGTGGAAAGCTTTGTCCGAAGGCCCGATGGCACATAGGATTGCTTGAGGGAGCGCCGCCTTGCAGGGACGGAGCACCTGCAAGCATGGAAGGCGCCACATCACGATAAGGTTGGGGCAGACGTTCGTCGAGCCCATTGCTAAGCCGGCCTTCAAAAGGATGCACCCAAACTCTTGAAGCTTTGGTTGATATCCAAGCTGTGGCAGCCGGCTGCATGCCTTGGAGCTGTGGTTGCCGCCTCTCAGCCGGTATCCTCAGATTTTCACGATAATTTCATGATATTGAGTATCGTTTCTAGCCCAAAACGACCTAAACACGACGAGACATGAATGACAAACACATACATGGACGCAGATGCAGCAAATGCTTGAAAGCCGTCATCGGTAATGCTTGAAGGGTCCTTACAGCAAGACAGTGTAGCTCAAGGCAAGGCTCGAATGAGTTTGCCAGCTCGGGCACCATGGATGGAAACGCAGCTTCCGGGGCAGATGCAGCTCTGTCCTGCTGGTTTCCCTGCAGACAGATCTTCACGCGAACGCGAGGAGAGTATGTATGGGGCGAGGCTGCCAATGCCGAAGCTCAGCGATGAGTCGTTGCAGGAAAGGCTGCGAAGCCTCGAGATGGAGTGCCAGCAGCTGCGCGAAAGCAACTCCCGGTTGGAGCTGGAGAACTCCAAGCTGAAGCTGCAAGTGAGCTCTTCACAGGGAGGGCAACCCGGTTCGGAGCAACAGGGATTGCCAAGCCTGCTGCATGCAGGGACACAACGCCAAGTCCTGCGAAGCCGCATGCGAGCGATGCTGGAGGAGCAAAGGCGACTGGTGTATGAACTCCAACTTGAGATTGCGGAGGCGCGATCCGCACCGCTGCGGTGTTGAGTTTGCCAGATGTTGCTACTCAGTTGCCAGGAGATGAACCTTCAGACTCGTCCCACGGAGGCAGAACCCCGACAGCCCGAGTCTCAGCTGTTTGCCTGGGCCTGTGGTTTAAAGTCCTCACCGGGCGGGGCTTCGCAAGACTACTGCGAACTCGACATGCTTTGCCGTGTTGCTTCCACATCGAATTGCCAAGAGCTGCAGCCAAGCATAATTATGTGTTTTGAGTTCACGGCGAGAAGGTTTTGAACTCGCAAAGATAGGAAAGGGAAGGCAACCCAAAGGCTCCATGTACCCATACAGTAGGAACTTAGGCCTTTAAGTGCCCATATAGGGACCCCTTTAAGGCCTAAGTACCTACTGCATGGGCAGATGGAGTCTCAGGGCAAGATGCCCACGTAAGCGTTGCCCTGCTCCGGTCGAAGATGGTTGAAGCAACGCTTCCCCAAGGCAGCTTGGTTAGAAGCGAGAAGGGCTGCGACTATATTCGTTTCGGGGTGAAGCATGATGCATAATTAATCCACGGTCGACGACACTCGCATGTCGAGATGTTGGGTTCCGAAAAAAGCGCCTAAGGATTGGGAGCATTGTCAGTTTCTGAGGTGTGCTTTTCCGAACAACTGGATCGAACGCTTTTCCTTTTCTCTTGCCTCAGGATACATGGGGGGGTTGTTGAGAGGGGGTTTGCCGTCCGGGTGCCCTCTTGCGAAATCAAACAAAAGCATCGGAATCCGTTGTGTTTTGCTGGTCACAGCTAGCAAAGACTCTCTACTGTGTTCGTCGCGATTCTGAGTTTTCGACATTTCCTGATTGGTCTATGGTGCTTACGGTTTTGTTTGTGGCTGTTGATGCCTTCTTCGTAATGTCAAGTTTGTGTAAACAACTTGCTTCCTGTTGCTTTGGCAACTGTCGGAGAGCATGTTCAGCGTTTGATTGGATATGTTTTGAACCTTGTCCAGCGGTTTTGGCAATTCACTTACAGGTGTAGGTGGTTTGTATTGTTGTTTGTGCTTGTCGTGCTGGAATGTGTTTGGCGATGTTTGCCTGCTGTTCATTCTGTGAGCGGCTTCTATGCAGTTTCCTTGGGTTTCCGTATGTTGGTCAACCCTGCACAAATCCGGGGCCGCCCCAGTGGAATAGATTTATGGCAGCACGACCGCATCTCGAGTTGCATCCGCAGACAGTCCGAATGCAGGCCGATGCCGCTTGCACCGACAGCTCTGACCGGGTCATCCAGAAGCGGCCTCGGCGAGTGGCCCTCCGCGCCGCGAGACCTCAACGAACCCCGAGAAGCTGCAGCACCCCCAGAGGAGGACCCGCCGGATGCTTAGATGCCTCCTTCTGTCACGCTTGCACAAGCAGCACCACCTCTGCGTTTAAGGCGTGGGTCTTGGCCCACGGTATCCCAGCCTTGGCCGTCGAGAGTGCCGGAAAGTGCATTGTCGACGAGAACCAGCGGCAACTACGCGCAGTCTGTACCAGACGAACTCAGTGCGCCATCTGAAGCGGCAGCACCACCCGAGGATGAGGACCCGCCGTGCGCTTAGATGCATCTTGAAGCTTGTTTTTAGCAGCGGCACCCTGCTCTCGAAGTTGATGCATGCCGTAGTCAGCATTCACGCGTTGACTTTGCACCTTTGCTTCCGAGTCGCGGTTGGCCTCGGAAGCATTAACCTAGGCCAGCGCCAGCCGTGACAATGCCAACGAGCAGAATAAACGGCAGAAGCAGCAACAGACCTCTCACTGCATCAGCTCGCACGGCTCCGGTGAAACTGCCTTCGCGCTATATGCTCTCTGCACCAGACGAGTTGCACACGCCCTGGGAAGCGGCAGCACCGCCTGAGGAGGAGCCGTCGGATGCTTATTTGTCCTTGGATGCTCTTCGACTCAGGTCTGCGTAGGCAGAGCATACGTGGCATGCTCTCGTGCGATTTGCTGGCACCCCGCACCGCCATGCACCGCCCAACGCCCAGGAAAACTGCTCAAATGACCGATCCCCATGACGGTCAAGAATTACTCTTTGACCGCAGTTGATTTGAGGCTCCAGCAGCGGGAACCCTCACGAGGATCGGGGCCGATTCCTTCGACAGTTGATGTTTTCGCAACGAGGATGTCAGTATCCAAAAGTCGAAAGCGACGTCCTCCTCGAGAAAGCAGAAAGCAACACAACCCAGGGGCAAAGCACAAAGTGTGCCTGCTTGGATGCATTTTGTATTGCTATTACACATCATGTCATGACCGCGGGCGCAAAGTGGCACACCGGCGATGATTCAGGGAGGGACTTCGAGGTGTAGCCCCGTGCCCATGCGTCGCACGCCTCTGGCTTCCTCCCCCATCCCCCTGTGGACGTGGCTGAGTTTGTTCTTCGATAAGTATGCGGGCTTCAATGGATGTGTGTGTGTGTGTGGATTTTTCTTTGTTCGCATTGCAACTTCCTCCCTGTTTGGGTGTTTCGTCAGATCGAGCCCGCCAAGCCTCAAACAATCCAGTTTCAAGCTGCACACACTGCAGTTGGCACGTTGGGGACCATCCCTGGGCTGGGCGAGGGAGTAGCCGCACAGCGACAGAAGACACGCGTCATAGGTGTGTGGACTTCAGCTTCGGGCAGCAAGCTGCTCGTACGCGTTTCCAAGGCCCGCGGTTCCGCCAATTTACGGGCGCGAAGGGTCAGCTCGTCAATCTCGGCTGACTCGGGGCAGCGCAGCTGGCTCCGACGTTGCCCCGGTCCAAGCGCCGTCGGAAGACGAGGATCCACCTATGTTGCTTGGCCAGAACCAGCGCGTTGTTGCATTCATGTGCAGGTTCATTGCGCAGATGCATTTCTAGCAACCTGCGCCCCCATTGTTGTTGCCGATCACTTGCACGATATGATATTGCTTCCGCTTTCGTGATTGGTGGGACACTGATGTGGTTGGGCCGACATGATCGGGGCCTTCGAGAAGGTTCACTTAAAATCTGTGTGTGCTCTTTGTGGTGACTGGTTGATCGTCAAGGTTCGTCGCGAGCTTGGGCACCGGTGCGAACTTGGGCATAGACATAGCCGCCATTAGCCGCCCCTCCGAGCTGTGAGCCAATTTTAGGCTTAGGCCTTTCTGAACTTTGCATTGATAGTAGCATAGGACGTAGGAGGCCAAACGACTACAAGGGCAGAAACCTGAGCCCTCTTTCCGAGCAGAGTTAAGCCTCGAATCCGAATTCTCAGAACCTCACAACACCACAAGCCATACGACTCGACTATTGGGGCCGAGTTAGGTCCTAACTAATTCTATATAGTCATATATATATATATATATAATATACATACTATTTTGGGGTTCCTGATTATGATCATAGTATCAAACACCCAAAACCCTATTATAATTGTTAAGGCCCTATGGTAAAGCTCTATGTAAAGCCTCACAGATCGTCCGGGTCACCGACACCGGAAGCCCTGCCTGGCCTCGCGAGATCCTCCAAAAAGCAAAGAGAAAACTCGCGCAACCCATTCGGACAATTTGAGCTCTGGCAACATGCCGACAAAAAAAGTGTTGTGAGAAGAGGATGGTCGGATGGTTTAGTATTCTCAGCGTCTTGGGGTGTCAACATCCCGGGATCTCTAAACTTTCTGGCGCCTCTCATACCCCCAGCATCCTTCAATTGTTCTAGCGGCTTATTCCCCCCTCTAAGCTGCCCGAAACCCGTTGGAATCTCTCATCTGAGCAGCTCGACGCTCCTGAGCAACTCTGTGTGAATGCTTCCATCTTCTTCCTGCTCTTGCGTGGAGGCTGCTGCTGCGACCAGACTCATGTGCCGGACAAGAGCTAAGGTTGCTGTGCACCTGGTGACTGCGGTCCCGATGAGAGCATCTGGCGACCTCCCACGGCCGACAACCGAAAACCGCTTAGATTCGGTGCCGTCTTGCTCCTACCTCCAAACGGAGCTGTGGCAAGGGAGCATCGATTGACATACACTTGCGCAAAAAGATTTAGGTTTCACACTGCACCGTGTAAGTCGAAGCAACAGCAACGAAAAACAGTCATGGCTCACGGGCGTGCGTTTGATCGAAAGCTATGCCAACGCATAGGCGGTGGCCAAAATTAGGGTTCCTTTTTGTGTCCTTATTCTAATGCGGCACCTATTCTATTTAGGATACCCAAAAAGGTGCCATAACTTTGACAACCACCCACATCCTGGAGCAAGGCAAGAAGCCGCTCTCGACTGCACGAAGTTCCAGTGTAACTTGCTGCAGATGGGAGGTGGAAGCCAGCCCGACGGCACCTGGACCCTTTTTGACGTTGAAAATCCACCGCCATCCTTCGCAAAACCCCTGAAGCAAGCTATGTTGATCAGCATTGACTTCCAGATCGCACGGCTTTCACGCCGTGCAACTAGGCGCATGAGGCAAAACTTGCGGCAGCTCAGTGTCCTTGGGGCTGAAGCCTCGCATGTCGTGGCGGAAGAGCAGTGGAAACTTGGCCCAGCTGCTGTTGTTGAGGTCTGACAGCAGCGAGGCATTGCTCGAGTAATCATCTAGCCCCTGGCGCCTCGACCGGCGAGTCAACCCCTGCAACAAGGTTCGACTGTTCTGCCAACATGAAGAGCGTGACTTTCCTGAATAATTCAAGCGAAGGGAAAGTGCGGAACCCAACAAACATATTGCTGCTGTGAAGTGGCTCAGGTAACTTCCGAGCAATGGCAAACTGCAGCACAACCTCAAGCAAGTGCAACTATGATTATGATATGAAGCTGACCCCCCACAAGTACTGTAAGTCAAAGCGTTCCACCCTAGGCTCTCCCCTTCAAGGGTTTAGGGATGCTCAGGGTTAAATTAGGGCCTGTGAGCAACAGTCATCCAGGATGGAGTCGTCCATGTGATTCGCATGTTTTTTTTCCAGTCTCAGCGCCATGGACACGCAGCTGGTGCTTCCCGGGCAAGTGCGGCTCGCTCCCGAAAGTGCCCCCCGGGCCGCGGAGACAAGTTCGCGCGAACGTCAGGAGAGGATGTCTGGCATGAGGCTGCCGATTCCCAGGATCAGTGAGGAGTCGTTGCAGGAAAGGCTCAGAAGCCTGGAGATAGAGTGCCAACAACTCCGGGACAGTAACTCCCGGCTGGAGCTGGAGAACTCCAGGCTGAAGTTGCAAGTGAGCTCTTCACAGGCAACTTCGGAGCAACCTGGATCAACAAGCCGGCTGAAGGGCTCGATCTCCGTGGCAGAGACGCACCATCAAGTCCTGCGAACGCGCATGCGAGCGATGCTGGAGGAGCAAAAGCTGTTGGTAGATGAGCTCCAACGTGAGATAGCCGAGGTGCAAGTGCCCTGCATTAAAGTCGGCGCTTTTACAGTTGCTCTGCTGTGCTTCGTGGCTCTTCTGTTGCCAGGAAATGAATCAACTCCAGGTTCGACCCATCAAACCAGACAACCAGCCGGAGCCCGAGCGATTGATGCAGGTCAGGGTTGCAACCGTGCAGAAAAACGGCCAGGGCCAGGGGACGAAGTAGTGGGTCCACCTCCTGTCCGAATTAATGGTGATCATGGGTGATTCACCTTTGTGTTCCATGAATTCGCAAGTAGTTGTGCTGTGGCAATACACAGCGGGCTTTCTGAAGAGTGTATTCACGTTCGGATTGAAGCTTGAGCTCCGAGCCTAGGCCGATTGGCATCAACAGCTGTTCATCCAGAAGCGGCTTTGGCGAGTGGCCCTCCGCGCACACCGCACCACGAGACCTCAAAGATCTCCGAGAAGCTGCAGCACCAGAGGAGGACCCGCTGGAAGCTTAGATGCCGTGTGTTTGCAGCAGCAGCAGCAGCAGCAGCAGCAGCAGCACCACCACCACCACCACCACCACCACCACCACCACCACCACCACCACCACCACAAACAACACCTCTGCTCCACCTTTGCTGTTGAGGCTTGGGTCTTGGCCCACTCGATCCCAGCCTTGGCCGTCGTCGAGAGTGTCGGAAAGTGCATTGCCAACGCGAGCGAGCAATAACGGCAGCTACCTACAGTCTGTACCCGACGAGTTAAATGCGCCCTGTGAAGTGGCACCACCACCAGAGGTCGATTCGCCGCGTGCCTAAATGCATCGCAAAACTTGTCTAGTAGCGGACATACCCACCCCGGCGGAAGTTCAGCTTGGTTCATGGTGTGCAGTCAGTCTACACATATTCATCCGTAAACCTTCTCACGTTGACTTGTTTATTTTTGCTTCCGCGACAAGGGTGGCATCGGGAATGTTGACCCAGGCCAGTGCCCGCCCGGAAGCCTGCAGTCGCCATGCCAACGAGCAGAACGGTTGACCGCGGCGGCAGCAGACCTTTCGATGCACACTCTGCGCCAGACGAGTTGCGCTTGCCCTGGGAAGTGGCAGCACCGCCGGAGGAGGGGCCGTCATTTATTCTTCGGTGTGCCCTGCTTTGCTCAGAGTGGCACCACAATGTCAAGAGGAAATCAGAGGAATAAGTGACGGACTAGTCAGAGCTGGAAGTTCTCGGTTGCATTTGACTCAGGCCCTCGGCAGCAAGCTTCGCCTCGAGCGCCCGGCTGCAGAGAGGCGGAGCTGCCATGCCGGAAGAGCCGAACGCGCCCAGCGAAGCGGCGTCCGAAGATGATGCCCCGCGTTCGCTGGACTCCCAGAAGAGGGCCTGCTCAGTCTGCCAAGCGTGCCTTACAAATCCTTGAGAGGGAGAGCAGCGAACCAATACACAGCGGGCCTTTCCCTGAAGAGTGTATTCAAGCGTTCCAGGAGCCTTGAAGCTTGAGCATCCGAGCCTTAGGCCGATGCCGATCTGGCGTGATCAACAAACAGCTCTGAGTGGAGTCATCCAGAAGCGGCTTTGGCGAGTGGACCCTCCGCGCACACCGCACCACGAGACCTCAAAGATCTCCGAGAAGTGCTTGTGCAGCGTGGTGTGCCATTGATTGGACTGGACCCGCTGTTGTTTGTTGGTTGCTTAGATGCCGTGCTGTTTGTTTGTTGCAGCAGCAGCAGCAGCAGCAGCAGCAGGCTCGTTAGTTACACCTACCACCACCACCACCACCACCAGCCAACCACCACCATCTCCACCACCACCACCTACATAACCAAGCACCTCTGCTCCACCTACTTGCTGTTGAGGCTTGGGTCTTAAGCCCACTGCTGATCAGATCCAGCCTTGGCCTGTCGTCGAGAGTGTCGGAAAGTGCGATTGCCAATACGCGAGGCGAGCGAATAACGGCAGCTAGAAGTCTCACAGTCTGTACCCGACGAGTTAAATGCGCCCTCAGTGAAGCTGGCACCACCACCAGAGGAGTCGATTCGCGGCGCCTGGCAGAGTCTCCATCAAGCAATGAACTCAGCCCTCGCGACTCACTTTCCCAAGAGAAAGGAAGCAGCACAAAGATCAGATCTCAGCATCTGGGAAGAGCGCTCTGTGTTTCATGGTGTGCACTCCCACTAGCAGTCAAGGTCTTAGCAGAGTTCTTGCCCGAGCTGCAGGTCCGTATGGTGTTCCGATGCTGGTGCTCGTTCTCCCAGCAAAGTGCACAGGCGAGGGTAGCAAAGCGTCACAAGCAGGAGCGGCGGCGGCAGGAATAGGAGATAACATGGTTTCAAGGCAGCAGGCAAGATCCAAGCAAGGACGGGAAGGGTCCCTCAGGGTTAACAAGTCGCTTCAGGTCGGGGAGGCCCCAGGAAAGAGTTCAGCTTCGTGATTCTGAGGGTCGCTTCCTTACTGCCAAGGAAGAAAAAGACAATTAGAGGAATATTCCCTAGACCCTGTCTTGGAGCAGGGGGGATAAGGGTCAAGAGGGGTGAGGCAGGGGGGGAGGAGGCCTTAAGGCAAGAATGGGACCAGGCCCTTTCAGAAGGCCCTCACCCTCCCAGCTCAGGTAAGGACAGGTGTCAGTGCAGAGGCAGTTTCACATGAGCTGGTGAGCGCTTCACGGTAAGTCGTATGCGTTTAGAGGGCCCTTGTGGAAGCGGATTCTGATAGGGTTACATTCCACAGGTCAAAGCCTTGTACAAGATGAGGCAGCCAGCAAGATCAGAGATTTGAGATAGCCAAGCACAGCAGGGGGAATCTAGGAGCCTGATAGGGAGCGGTCTGTGACATGCTAGCACCCAATCTTTTCCATTCGACTGGCTCTTGCATCTAAGGGCATGTCTCATTGTAGGAAAGCCTCTGCCTTCAGGAAGATACCCAAAGCGTCCAAGGTTATAGTCATATCGAGACAGCGCTACCAATTACTGGTACGGTTTATAAGGCCTCCTCATCATAGTTGTATTACAACGTATCCCAAAACCTATTCCAAATACCCAGAAAGTCCAAAATCAGTTAATCAAGGAATATGCTATAGCTTAAACTGTAACATGAAGACCCCTACATATTTTAAGGTGTATTCCTGAATTAATTAATCACAGGGCAGTTGGGCTCTCTGTGTTGAGGCCTTCTTCCGTTTGGGGTTCTCCAGGTCGGTTTGCCAAACAAAGGAGTGCCGTAAACTGAGAATGAGTTTTGTCGGGGTTTTGCCGGGGTTTACATTTGGTAAACAGGTGTATGGCTTTAGTACAGCATGGGAGTATAGGGTCTCCGCTTTCCACAAAACGGGCCATCCAAAATGGCCCTCAACTCACCTTCGTGGTCCGATACTACTTGGAGGCCCTTTTGACTTAGTAAGTCTACTTAGTATCCCCTAGAAACCTATTATAATCCCCATAACTTACCTTACTAACCCTACTTACTAAGTCAAAAGGGCTCCCAAGTACTACTGCAGTTCAATATTTGCCGTAACTGCAAGTCGCGCTACACGTCCGCTAAGCCACTATGTAGAAGTCTCCTATAGAAAACCATGAGAAAACCACTAGTCACTATTTTCCTGTAAAGCCCAAAGAGGGCCTGCTAAACCCAAACTCCTAAACAAACCCTCTAAACCCCCAAACCCCTAAACCCTAAACCCTTAAACCCTACACCCTGAACCCCAAAGCCCCAAAACCCCAAAACCCCTAAACCCCAAAGCCCCTGAAGCCCTAAACGCGGGACCCTTCGAAGCCCGAAAGCCAAAGGCCTCCATGAGTGTACCGACCGAGAGACCGGCAGCTGAGCTGCGATGGGAGAAGTGGGCTTAGGGGATGATGGAAGTTCAGGAGTTTAGGGTTTAGGATTTAGAGTTTAGGGGTTTGGGGTTTAGGATTTAGGAAGAGGGTTTAGATTTGCAGTTTAGGTGTGGGGCTCAGGGTTTTGGGCTCTTAGGAAGTTCAGGGTTTGGGAGTTCAGGGGTGAGGGTTTCGGGATCTCAGCAGCTCAGCAAGCAGCCCCGCGAATATTTAGGAGCCGGTTGAGGGTTCGGGATCTCGGGAACAAAGGGTTTAGGCATTGGGGTTTGGGGTTCAGGGTTGAGGTTTGGACTCTCAGGAAGTTCAGGGTTTAGGGATCAGGGTCCCTCTGCTGCATGACCCAGGTCCACAGTGCAGGGACCTGAAAATCGATGCTGCAGACGCGACTTTTCAAGTGCCTCCCTTGGGGTCACTCGCGAGACCACGAGTACGGCACTCTCGCTTCTTCACTTCATGCTTGGCTGTCGTCGTGACGAGGGGAGGCGACTCTTGGCGGAGGGAAAGAGGGTGCACTGGAATCTGTGTGTGTTCGATCAGGTGCTGGGCCAACTCCCCTGCACGTATCTGCCGGCATAGACCCCGCGGAAAGAGCATGTCCCGAGAACGCCAATACTCGCATCAAGATGTGTCTGGGTGACAGGCAAGCGCATGGTCCGCCAGGAGCGCACGTCCTGCTCCACCTCAGAGACAGGTATTGTACCAGATCATGCCGTGCGTGCCAGTGAAGCTAAGGACACGTTCTTTGAGGGCTCCCACAAGGTTCCAGGGGTTTGAGTGTTGGACGGGTTTAGGGAGTTTCGTTCTGCAGGGTTTCTAGGGGTGGTTAAGGGGTTGGCCAAGTCAAGGGTCTAGTGTGGCCTGGTATGTTGGTGATGACTCCCACCCCCCTAGTCCCTGTACCCTCGAAGATCCCCTGCTTCAAGAAAATAGCTACGTCATCTTCCTAGCTCGCAGCGCCGTCTCTCACGAGCCCCAGGACGTAGCCAATTTCCCGAGTAATGTCTCTGCAAGAGCTCTTCCAGCGAGCATCGATGGATGAGAGCTCTGCCCCTAAATCTTCTGTGAGGATAGGGAGGCTTCTCAGAAGGGTACTTCTCAGTGTGTTTAACCCTATTCAACAATATTCAGAAATGTTTGAATTTCTGCTTAAATATTCGGAAATATTACGTTTTCTTCGGTAAACTTCCATAATATTCTTCATTCTTCCAGGTTCTTCACCATTATTCTTAGATCTTCGTAAATCTTCGAAATTATTCGAAACTATTCGAAATTATTCGAAATTATTCGAAATTATTCCAAATTATTCCAAATTATTCGTTGTATCTGCGGAGAACTTCAAACACTTTTCTAGACCATTCTTCTCAGATCTTCGTAAATCTTCGAAATTCTTCGAAATTCTTCCAAATTCTTCGTTGTATCTGCGGAGAACTTCAAACACTTTTCTAGACCATTCCTCTTAGATCTTCGTAAATCTTCGAAATTCTTCGAAATTCTTCGTTGTATCTGCGGAGAATTCAAACACTTTTCTAGACTTCTGCTTGTTTCCCCCAGCTGAAACCGCCAGCTCGCACCCTGTTCGGAAATACATATCCTATAGGAAATTACAATTCGCACCGTTGTTTTTCTTGGATTCCAAGCACAAATCCTATGGGAAATTACAATTCGCACCCTGTTCGGAAATACATATCCTATGGGAAATTACAATTCGCACCCTTGTTTTTCTTGGATTCCAAGCACAAATCCTATGGGAAATTACAATTCGCACCCTGTTCGGAAATACATATCCTATGGGAAATTACAATTCGCACCCTTGTTTTTCTTGGATTCCAAGCACAAATCCTATGGGAAATTACAATTCGCACCCTGTTCGGAAATACATTAAGTAGACTCTGTTTCTTGGAATCCAGGTACAGCATCCTATGGGAAATTACAATTCGCACCCTTGTTTTTCTTGGATTCCAAGCACAAATCCTATGGGAAATTACAATTCGCACCCTGTGCGGAAATACATTAAGTAGACTCTGTTTCTTGGCATCCAGGTACAGCATCCTATGGGAAATTACAATTCGCACCCTTGTTTTTCTTGGATTCCAAGCACAAATCCTATGGGAAATTACAATTCGCACCCTGTTCGGAAATACATATCCTATGGGAAATTACAATTCGCACCCGCTCGCACCCTGATTAGCGCTTGTGTTTCTTGGATTCCAAGTACAAATCCTATGGGAAATGACAATTCGCACCCTGTTTGGAAATACATTAAGTAGACTCTGTTTCTTGGCATCCAGGTACAGCATCCTATGGGAAATTACAATTCGCACCCTTGTTTTTCTTGGATTCCAAGCACAAATCCTATGGGAAATTACAATTCGCACCCTGTTCGGAAATACATATCCTATGGGAAATTACAATTCGCACCCTTGTTTTTCTTGGATTCCAAGCACAAATCCTATGGGAAATGACAATTCGCACCCTGTTCGGAAATACATATCCTATGGGAAATTACAATTCGCAGCCTTGTTTTTCTTGGATTCCAAGCACAAATCCTATGGGAAATTACAATTCGCACCCTGTTCGGAAATACATA